CAGGGGCCTCCTGCACTGGCCTCCCTCTGTGGAGCCTGCAAGGCCCTGCACCCGCCCAGCGCCTCCACACAAACACTTCCTGATCTAATCAATGCCAGCGATGACCTGCCCTCTGGGGTCAGCACCAGCCTGGGAGGCCCAGGACCACGGCTTCCTGGGGGTGCTCTCGGTCCCTTCTTTTTGTCCTTAATCCTCACCCGACTGCAGTCGAGGGCACGTACCTCGGTTGCAGGCTTGATCCCTGGCCCTGGTCAGGGCAGGAGTGTGAGGCAACCAATCGCTGTGTCTCTCTCACATCATGTTTCTTTCTCTCAGTCTCTCTCCCTCCCACTCTCTCTAAAAATCAATGGAAAAGTGACCTCGGGTGAGGATTAACAAAAAAAAAAATAACAAAAAAATTAATGGTTGACTTCTTTGAAGAACTTTATTGGTTTTAGAGAGAGGAAGGGGGGGAGGGAGGAAGGGAGAGAGAGAGAGAACACACACCGATCGGCTGCCTCCTGTATGCACCCCACCCAAACTGAATGACGGGGATCAAACAGCAACCTAGGTGTGTGCCTGAACTGGAATCCACCCGCCACCGTGTGGTGCACGAATGACCCTCCGCGGGAGGCAGACACCAGGGCTGAAATGGCCGATGTTTTTTTTTTGTTAATCCTCACCTGAGGATATTTTCCCATTGATTTTTAGGGAGAGTGGAAGAGAGAGGGAAAGACAGAGAAACATCCATGTGAGAGAAACACATCCATTGGTTGCCTCCTGCACAAGCTCAGACCAGGGCCTGGGCCAGGGAGGAGCCTGTAACTGAGGTCCGTGCCCTGGACCGGAATCGAACCCGGGACCCTTCCACACGTAGGCAGAGGCTCTGTCCAATAAGCCAAACCGGCCAGGCCTGGTCTGTTCTTGAACTGAACCCCGCTGGCAGGCACCACCAAGAGGCCAGCCTGGCTCCTGGGTCACCTCCCACCCCCACTTCCCACCAGAGGGGGGAGGATTGAGCACATGGCTTCTGCAGGGTCTCCCTGCGGCTGGACAGAGGGCGGCTGAACAGTGGACACGTGAGGTTGGGGTGACTAAGGGGACCCCGGGCCACGGCTCTGGAGACCAGGCCCAGTCGAGGCCGGGTGATGCTCAGGACGCTGCCCCACCCCCAGAACTCGAGGTCTGAGCGGCAGGGTCTTAAACTGTCTCCTTTATTCATTCATATTTGCAGTATGAAACAGCTGGGCACCCACACTCACGCGGCCGGAGAGGGAGCTGGGTCAAGGTCACTTGGCAACTGGGCTGGACCCCAGACCTCCAGGCACTGGAGGGGGACCCCAGCTGGACCCCCACCAAACCCCCGCCCAGGGCCTGTGGGAGGTGCAGGGGTCTCGTGAGTGTGTCAGGGCCTCGTGGGAATGTCACCAGAGAGGTGCCTTGGCCGGGACCCCAGCCCCCAGAGCCGCGGGCCAGGCGAGGGTCCTTGAGCTCCTGGCCCGGGGGAAAGTGCAGGCCTGCGGTGTGGGGCTGGGCGAAGGCACGGCCCCACTCGGACCCCCCAGGTGGACCTGAGCTGAAAGGCCGAGTGTGGGTGTGGGCATCTGAACCACGGGGGGCACGGCAGCTGGGGAGGGGGGGGACAGTGCCTCGGGGACCCCAACACAGCCCCGCTGGGAAGGGATGAAGGTCCCCCCCACCTGCCCAGGCCTGGTTCCGTCTGGCTCTCCCACCCTCTCCTCCCTGGACATACATATAATATAGAATATAGGTCTCTCTCTCTCTCTATCTTTTCTCCTTTCTTTCTACTTGACTCTATATCTTTATTCAAGGAGATAAAACTCCATCTTTTTTTTTCTCAGTGCAAATGGGGGTGGGTGGGGCCTGTCTCCCTGGCACCAGCCTCCTGGGAGTCCAGAGGAGAGAACATGGGGTGGGGGTGGAGACGGGATGGGGTGATGGGGCAACAGGCCATCACGGGACCCACCCTGACCCCGCCCGGGCAGGATCTGCGCACAGGTTTGGCCGCCATCACCGGAACCAGGCAGCTACCTGGGAAGCAAGAGGGAGACGGGAGTGAGGAGCCGCGGGCCCACCCGCCCTCACCCCCACCTGCAGCCCTGGCCGGCGACTCACTGGGAGCCTGGGGAGGCCGGCCCTCCCTGGGCAGAGCCGTTGGGCACTGGAGGCAGCTGCAGGGCCTGGGCACTGTCGGGAGAGGGGGACACGAGAGGTCAGTGCCTCCTCCACGATGGCCCCCCACCCGCCGTGGCCACCCCATGCTCACCTCTGGTTCTGTGGGAGCCCCATGGGCTCTGGGCTTTTCTCCCTCTCCATGGTCTGGGGGGGATGGGGGGCCCCAAGGGCTGGGACAGAGGTAGCAGGGTCTCTGGTTGCACTGTGGGGAGTCGGGGGTCAGGCGCTCACGCCCGGTGTAGGCCCTCGCCCGCAGCCCGGGGGCAGGGAAGCAGCACACAGCCCTGACCCCACACGCAGACCCCGGGGGCCGCTGGGCAGGAACTCTGTCATCGGGGACATGGGGTCTGCACGCTCCTTTCCCCTCCTGGCCCTTCGGGAGGCCCCCTCCCGCCCATGGGGCTCCCGCAGAGCCAGAGGTGAGCGTGGGCTGGAGGCCCTGGGCAGCAGGGTCCTATGTGACTCCTGTGAGCACAGGCACAGCCCTACAGCCCTGGCCGGTCTTGCCAGTGCCCCTTGGAGCAGCTCGAGGGTGACAACCCCAAAGGCCAGGCTTTATTCACCTCCCCACGCGGCCCCCCCGAAGCTGTTCCCAGCAGGTCACCTGTCCAAGGGGCAGGGGGTGGAGTTTGTCCTTCGGAGGGCGGCCTGGAGGTCCCTGACGCTGACCAAGGCCTGGCAGGGGGCTGGGGAAGACAGAGGCGCAGCCTGAGCAGCGGGTGCCAGGCCGGGG